GAAGGGGAGGGTTCCTAAAAGCAGATACGCACGTACGTGTTGAAAATTCACGTAACTTGACACTCTTTTATTTTTTCTCCCCCTTTCTTTTCTTTTTGATTTGATTTTATTTTAGGTTTTTTTTTTTGGTTGGACTTTTTATGATTTATAAAATGAAACGTTAAAGTTTAAGTCTTATCTAAAATAAACTTTGCGTGCTTGTCAATTTAAGGAAAATCCGGTTGAAGAGAATAGAAGATTTGTACCGTTGTGTTAGAAAGTACACATTTTTAGTTGACATTATGGATTTATTTATCGTTTATCTTACCTTACAGGCGGGATCTCGCGGTGATCGGAAAGAGGGGGGCAAGAGGGGACGCAAGCCTGGAAGGAAAGCGTCCGACAAGGTGGACATGAAAACCAAGCTCGGTAAGATCGGTTTAACATTTTTCTAGTATCACTTGTCCTTTACACTTTCATATTTTCCTTTTTATTTTTTTTTTTTTTTTTAGCATTTATACAAACACACACAATATGTGTTTCAGATATTAATCAATTATTTCTTTACTTTTCTTATCTTTTTTTTTTGAGGGGCAACAATTTATTATTCATGATGATTTTCGGTTCGTTAAAAAGAATTGAAATTTTGTTAAACGAGTCAAGAAAAGAACAATAAGGAAAAAGTAAATGCGAGAAACGCGTGTCATCGTAGTTGTGATTGTAAAATAGAAGAGTTTTAGGTATTCTTAAGACGCTCACGATTACACTGATTGCTATTTGCAATTCTACGAAAAAGAATGGAAAAATAAAAAACAAAAGAAAGATCAAGAAAAATCCTTTAACCGTTAGGAATATTTATCTCTTTCGGTGATGAATATTTATAATACCAGATCAGGATTCACCGCAGTCTTAAAAAGAAATAAATAAAATGTTAAAAGAGTAGGAAAAGGAAAGAAACAAACTGTTGTGTCTTCGATGTCAGCAGCAGTTGTATTCTTTAGATTGGGGGTTGAGGGGAGTGAATGTTGGGTGAAGATACAGTAATAGTCAGTGGTGCTATTGCTGTTGCTGTTGCTGTTGGGCTTTAAAAGGGTGTATTTTGCAATTTCACTATTTTTCTAGGACGGTTAGTTCAGGATAAAGGCACCGAGGAAAAACTGAAAGGAAGAAAAAGACCTTCCAACCTTGGTTGTACTGGTATTTAGTTTTGTTCCAGTGTCTCACTTGTGTTGTGTCTTACACTCGGTGCTTTTATATTAGTGTCTACGAAAAAGAAAGAGTGTGAAGAAGAGAGAGAGAGAGAGAGTGGTAAGAGGCAGGGGGTGGAGTACCCCCCTGTGGACCATGGCACCGAATAATTTCCCAAGATTATTTCTGCTACGCGTACTTCTCTTATTTCCGTAGGAAACTTTATAATCACGCTCCACTCTCTCATCTTTCGTTCCTTCGTTTCTATTTTTTTTTTTTTCTACTTTTCTTCTATTAGTATTGCTCCTTTGCTTATTTTTTTTTTTTTTTGGTCTTAATTTCGTTTTTTTTTTTTTCTCTCTCTGAATTGTTTTGTTCTTTTCTTTTATCCAACGTTATCGCACTCTTCTTTCGTAGTTTCCTCTTTCTATTTCTTTTTTCTATTTTTCTATTTCTCTTGATTTTCTCATTTTAGTCTTTTTGCGGTTGATCTCTCGACAATGAACGTCAACGTTATAATAAAAGGAATAACGTGTACTTTTTAATGTTTTTCTTATTGTTGATTTCAAGTTTCCGTCACTTTTATACGACTCCTTTATTCTCTTTGTATTTAGTTTTTTTACTTTAGTTTATTTCTCTCTCTCTCTCTTTCTTTCTCTTTCATCTTATTCCTTTCTCTTAAGTTTCCTCATGAAGTTGAACAGAAAAAGGATGCTAGAATTGGTTTGCGAACTTTAAGCTCGGTTTACGATTTTGGTATTCGTGCCACGTAATTGTCTCTCTCTCTCTTTCTTTCATTTTATTTTTCTTTCGTTATCTTTTTCATAGAAAATATATAAAATGTATTTAGATACGTTATTCGTTAACTTTTGTATACGACATTACCGGAAAACAATAGTCAAATATCGATATACATATCAGCCGCTTATTTTGAAACTGGCTTAACTCCATTTATCTTCAAATCGAGATATTTAAGGTTTTGCGTTTCAATGAATTTAAAAATATACGTATAGGATACTAATGAGTTATGCTACTTAAGTGTATCTAAAGGGGTTAAATTTACAGTTCTCATTAAAATAATGGCAATTATTAAGTGAATAACGTGAGTTTTCTTATCAAGAATGGAGTTGGGCCACTTTCAAAATTAACAGCCAGATTCATTATAAAATTTGAAGGAGCCCAAGTCCATTCAACATAATTTAAGATGTTTCAAATTGAAAAAAAAACAATACTGAATTTGTTTTATATATGTTGAAAACACTTCGGAAACATAA